TTAAATACTAAAGTTTTAATATTAGAGTTTTTATAGTTTACTTCGAATGCCAACGCGGGATGATATCTGTCTTCTCTAAATGTAATATGTAAATTAAATGGTTTAATAATATCAGTAATAACAGTAAATTTATTTAATTCAAGTTATTCCTAATTATTTTAAATCTACTTTCAACAAATTCCAATAATTTTTTGACGTATAATTTATAACAGTGTCATCTTCGATACTTATAATTCTTCTTTTTGTATTTAATTGAATTAAATTTTTAATGTATAATATAAAAGTTATACCAGTAAGCTTTTAAATAAAGCACTAGTGTGTATTTTATGTATTTATTAAAATACTTCAACTACAATTTTTTTAGCCTGAAATATGAACAATGGATCTAACCTCTAACTACTGACAGCTGACTGTCCGTTATGGCTAACATTACGTTGCCGTACTTATGAACATATTATACATATCAAGTAAACAGAAGCGGTCCATGTATAGTTCCTTGTGGGACTGTTCTTGTCTCAATAAGTGTTTTATCAATATCAATTGTATTCTGTTGTCCAGATAGCTTTCTATTATTTAATATATTTATTCTCTCAGGTTGTTATATTTAAATTTATGCAATAACCTCTTATACCTACATTATAAAACCTGTATAATTTCATTATGTCGTTATTTTTACTACTTCAATCATTTACGGCAATATCGCTCTCTTATTTGTACAAAATTTATCTTTTAAAACATTTAAAATTGCGTGGCATGTAAATTACCATGGAATAAAACTTTTTGGACGAAATATCAAATTTTATTATGCCCTCAGGACAGAATCATTTTTTGCACGAATACAGTGTTAATTGAGTTTCGCCGAAACGTTCACACGTTCCCCTTTTAACAGTCTGGAATTCATTTATGATTACTGGTGGGGTGGCATTATTTGTACATAGGTATTTATTGATTTGTGAGTTGTTGATTATTAGGTCAATGGAGAGGTATGTGTAAAAAGTAATTGAAAAAAATCTTCCAAAAGGAAGACTTAAATTTAAAGGATATAAGGTTTATCATACCATTCATCCCCTAAATGCAGCAATTAAGAATCATCAGGAAGCGGGATACAGGACTGAAGAATTTCAGGTTACTACAGTAATGATAAAATCTAAAACTTCTGATATTATGGTCACTTCTGTATATTGTCTTCCAAGACACATGGGAGGTTTGTGAGTAGCAGGTATCAAATCTGTTAAAACTCATCTTATTAGAGTTATTGGGGAACAGATTTTGTCATTTGAAGAATTATGGACGCCTGGACATTTTTTAAATTTAAAGCCTCTCTCTGTACTCACTCTGTACTCATGAGACCTAACCAAAAAGAAGTTTTAAACATGACGGTACAAGTATTGTAATTAGGAATTGACATGTATCTATAAATGTATCATGTCTAGAAACTCTAGAAGGATACATTTCAATTATATACAAAATCCTTCTTGGTGAGTGAAACGGAAAACCAAAAAAATCTTGAAATATCAGAAGAGCAAGGCAATTTTTATTTCTTACGAAGAAAATATAGATACTTCAAACATTTCTAAGGCAATATTCAAGGCACTTAACAATGGATACAAAAGGTTTTTCAAGGATTCTAAAATATTCATCCAGGATTGAAACAGCCAGAGAAGTCATTAAACAACCATCAGATAAGTTCACTAGAGTTCCACAATGACAAATAATTAGGACACTGTCGAGTAGAAGACAATTTTAATCCATTCTTATATAGTAGAAATAATCGTCGATAAAAATGTAAATTATAATTCGAATAAAGCAAATTTGTTTAATTACATCAAAGTTAAAACGTGAATTTATTTGAACTTAGGAAAATTTCCTATTCGAAACAGCAACTTCGTTTTCTTGCAATTAATATTCATAGATTAATTTAATAACCAAAACCTCGTTAGAATCAAATTTGTTGAATAATTTATAAAACCGAGAAATTATTGATCGAAGTAATATAATTAAGCATCGAGATCGACATTTTCTTTATTATTATCATTTACTAATGAATATTTGTTTCAATGAGTTTCTGTTAAACGGAAAATTCATTAATATTTAATATCAAAGACTATGGAAAACTGGGAAACACCAGGAATTAAAAAACGAGAAAATATTACTGTAAACAAATTTTAGAAACGAGGACAATTGGAAAATATATAAAAAAGAATATCTTAAATAAAAGATAGAGAGAATAATATGATTGATAGATAATAAAATAATACTCTCCCTAATTCACCACCTTCCGAGTGAATTTTAACCCCAGAAAATTTAGAAAAAAATTTTATGGATCACTTCTTATTATGGGTTATCATATTTAGAAGCATTAAAAGCATAGAAACCAACGTTGTCCTTCTTTTCTCTCTTAGTAGAAAATAAGGAACGTAACCAGAATCGATTTTTAGGTAGGGCATCCGAAATTTGAAATAGGGCACAATGTTTTAGTGGGGTTTGAAGTGGTTAGAGATGTGGGTGAAGAGAGGGTTGAAAGTAGTTTGATCAGGAAATTATGTGCAAAATATGCGTGCATGTCGCGCTATAATATTTTTTTAAATAAATTAACTAACATAGGTGTTTGAATGTCTTTATATAAATTCAAAATCGATTAAATTAAATGAAATACCAGACCTGCCATTCTATTGTGAGCTAATGCCATTCTTTGAAACTTGTTTATCACAGTTCACTTTCAAAAGGTAGCTTTGCATGAAACAGTCCTGCAGCCAAATGTTGCGATTGATGCAAAGAGATCATACGTTTTTCTTTTTGTCAATAAATAATTTTCCAATTTGAGGTTTATCATTAAAAATTTCGTAACTGCTAGATGTTCTGTATCTAACTGTGTTGTGGAATGAGTTTGTTTTTGCTCGACTTCTTTATCAAGTTGCGGCTTTCTTTCGAAAACAACTCTTATACTCTACTCATAATACATGCCTTAAATTCAATGTATAATGGTGAACCTCGTTGAACCTGATCCTACGTGCTTGTGCTTCTTCTACTCGACAGTGTCCTAATTATTTGTCATTGTAAAACTCAGAGATAACAGAGTTATAAATATTCATCGATAAAATATAATATTTACGATGCCAAAATTAATTCGACAATCGATACACTCTATTTGTAGGGACGCGGCGAGGAGATGAAAGGTAAGAAGTAAGAGAGGGGATAAAGAGAAGAATTTTACTCAGATACAACCTATTTTTATCAATAAATAATTGAGTAAGCCGCTATGCGCTTATAATAAACAACATCTGCGTAAAAATATCTTAAATAGCAACAAACACTGAAATGTTATCATGTCCAAAATAGTGCATACTATGTAACATGTTTGATCTTTTGAATTCCCCACAGCTTCAGCTATCTCTACTAACTTCAATCCAATGTCGCTTTAAACAATTTTTTGGACTTTCAGGACCATACTATTTTACCTCTTGTGGTATTATCCTTGTAAATATTTTATGAGGGCTTCGAGTTTCTAAATTAGGTATTCAAAAAACTTAGAACTTGTTTGTTATAGCGGGCTGACAAATACAAACAAACTACTAGTTAGAAACTTTTCCAGAAAAACTAATGATGTATTTATGATATTGAATAAAACAAATAAATAAATGATAAAATCTTATAACCCACTATAAAAAAATGTTAGGTCATCGGCATACAATAGATTTTTGACACTCAAATTACAAACAATATCATTAATAAAAAGCAAAAATAATAAAGGCCCTAAAACCGAGCCTTGCGGGACGCCGGATGTTTGTTTGAAATTAACTGATTTTATGCCCTAAGCACTGAACATAAAGGTAACCTTGTTTCGTTTCGACATTAGTCTGTGCAGATCTCTACCTGAAATTGTTACCCTTGGAGGGTTATATGCGCCTATTATTGTTAGTTTACTTACCTCTATTATAATATGATCAAAGTATTCAAAAATATTTAATTTGGGAATTTCTTTAAAAGGCAATTCTTTCTTTATTATGATAGCTACCCCCCGGATGCGTTTCTAAATTGTCTGATATTTCTGTCTTCTCTGATTACTGTATAGTCTTATATTTTTACTTTGTCTGTCTGTCTGTCTTAAAAAAGTCCGATCTTGTTTAGTAGCCCGCGCACATTGAAAAAACAAATTTTGAGTTTGTCTATGTTTGTATAGTTGAGTTCAGTTCCTAATGTTATATGAGTCCGTATGCATAGTTGATCGCCAGCGACTCGCCAGAGATTCATTTCGGCGTATCGCCAGCGATTCGCTGGCGATACGCCGGCGAAAGCTTAAAAAGCTGGCGACTCGCCCGAGATTGTCACCGGAATGTCATTTCACGCAAGTTTTCATGTTCTTTTATAGGGAAAAATTTGATATTCGTTCATTATTTTTTGAGTTTTAAGAAATGAATCATGAATAAAATGCGAGAGATACCGGTGATAATCCCTATAAATGAAAATAAAAACTTGCCTGAAATGACATTCCGGTGACAATCTCCGGCGAATCGCCACCTTCTTGGGCTTTCGCCGGCGGATCGCCAGCGAATCGCTGGCGATACGCCGAAATGAATCTCTGGCGAGTCGCTGGCGATCGACTATGCATACGGCTGTTAAGTTTGTCATGAAATTGTTGAATGTCATGAGGTACTGTGGGGTGGAGGTGCATTTGCGGAGTGAGGAGTTAAGTTCATGGACGGCTCGGGTGAGGGCGGCTATATTTACCATGGAGTTAAGTTCCTCAAATTCCTGGTTTAGGGCAAAGAAATCGCCCATTCCTCCTGTTTAGGGTTGGTTTGCTTCGCTCGGTCTTCATTTTTGGTATTGAGGGTTGGGATTTATTTTATTTTGGGTAGGTAGGGGTGGAAAGTCTCTTAACTCTGTTCCTGTTTTTATTCCAGGCGTTCCTTGCAGGTAGGGGAGCTTGGACACATTTTTGTTTAGGTTTTTGGGATAGTCTTCTTTCCTCAAGTCTCGAGGCCGTTTCAAGGTACGCCTCACACTTCGTGTAGTTTGCCGAGTGTTCCTCGTGGCAGTTGGCGCACGTGGCGGGTGTATCGCGGGATTTGATGAAGGTGGTGGTTAGGTGGTCTCCTGCACATTTTAAGCACCTTGGGGGGCGGCCACAGTTTGCAGGCCTGACATCTGTGGCACTGGATTATGGTTTTGATCGATTTGCGGATTTCCCAGGATATCTTGGTATTCTCAATAACCCTGACATTTTTATTGAGATACTCAAGTGTAATTGCAGGATCGGTCACTACAAGGTAGAGAGGTCTGTACTTTGTGGACATTAGGTAGATTTCTTTTGTTTTAATTTCATATGTTTCCCTCAGGTCTTCTACAATGTCCTGTTTTTCAGTGCCATTTGCCATTCCTCGCAGCACAAAGGCATGGGTTTTGTCAGCCTTACTTGTATAAGTGTGATGCGGGATTTCTGCTTCTTTTATACTTCCGAGTAGCGTGTTGTAGTCTTCCTCGTTTTCAGTAAATATGATGGTTGTTGCGTTGGTGTACTTTACCGAGTATTTACCCTTAATGATGCCTTTAAGGTCCTTTGTTAGGTTGGAGTGGTTATCAGTGCTTCCATCTATAACTATTGGTGGTATATTGTCTTTGGCTTAGTTTTTGTGGCTTTTTTTGCACTCTTTTGAGTTACCGAGGTGCCTTTTATAGGTAAATTTGGGGTGGCTTTACCTTTTACTTTGTTTGTTGAAGTTTCAATCTCTGTCTCACTTTCTGATTCGCTAATTGCTTCGAATCTATTGTCAGTTTGTATGGTAGCTGCCGCTTTTTGTTCCAGTAACTTTATGAAGTTAGTTCTGAATTTCTTGGTTCTTTTGGGGTATTGGTATTCATCTGTGTCCATTTTGTTGATGGAATTATTTTGATTTTCTTTATTTGTCTCCTGTGTTGCTTGCTTGCTTACACGGAAAATGTTCTTCCTTTTCGGGAGTAGGGGTGGTGTAGAATTTGTTATTCTCCATACTTTTTTTATGGAAGTTTTCTATGTTGTTTTTCTCGGTTTTCCCATCATTGTTAGTTGGGGTTAGGTGTAAATCGGCGTTATCAGTGTTTGATTTCTCCCTATCTTTGCTAGTTCCTGATCTAGATAGCTTTTTCCCCTCTTGATCGTATTTTTTGGACGATCTTGAATGTGAGTTCCTACTATCCCTGGAAGAATTTAATTTGTGTTCTCTGGGTTTTGGGGTACTCACATGCTTAAAGGGGTGATGGATGCTCGTTTTAAGCTTGAGGGTTGGTAGGCTTTTGGGGCTGTTGGAAGAACCTGAGGACCTCCGTCTCTCTGTGTTTAGCGATAGTGCTCTTCTACTTTCTTCCTTTTCCCTGGCTCTCTTTGTGAATAGAGTTTCGGTGGGTTGTTCCTTAGGGTGTTCCTCATCCCTGGTTATTATGGGGTGACTGTTTGCCCCTTCGGGCCCCTCCATGAGGGTGTACTGCTCCTTGAGAGCTGCTTTTACTTGTACCTGGCTGACACGTGCTCTAAAAACAAAGTAAACAAAGTTTGAGGTGAAAAACCCTAGCGGCACTAATTTGAACTAAGTTTCGGCTCAAAATAACGCAGCCTTCCCCAGATAAAGTACAGGTGATAAAGTAGGGCATTGGAATTTTATGTGCTCCCCTCTGCCTACGGCCATGTAGAAAAAAATGGTTCCTAAAAAATAGAAAATCTTCCTAATTATCTGAAAATAAAAATAAAAGAATCAAGAACTATTGGATGAACTGTATCTATGAATTAGGAATAGATTTAAACCTTCAATTAATGATTGTGAGCTGATTCATTTGACAAAACGACTGGAATTACAGTAACCGTTTGTCGTTTCCAAATTTCTTTTATTTCCATTTTGTTTCCTTCTCCTCGAATTTCTGGTAGATAATTGAATTGTTTAGCAAGGATACATCAATGGGGAACATTTGTTCGAAGCGCAGTTCTACAGATCAAACTTTTTACATTACTCATTCGATATAAAGTTTTATTACGAGGTGAGAGAACTCGAAATCCTAACCAAATTAATTTAACAAGTCAATAAGAAGTTTATTATACGTCATTACCGTCCATTTAACCCACATACTTTTACAGCTTCCTATTTTGAAATGATGAAGGTGTTATTCTAAGAGATATGAGTTTGTTGAAAGTTCATGGATTTTAGGGTAAACTAACTAGGTAATTACTTAAAGTTTAGAAAGACTTTGTGTAGTCGGAATTGTAAACTGCGTGTAATCAACCTTAAATGAAGGTTGGTAAAAGCAAGGGAACCCTTTTGGTTAAATTATCAAGTAAAGTAGTTACATGTTTGTTTAGGTAATAAATATTCACATAAATTTAATATGTATTAGTTAAATATTAATATAATTAAGACCGATATATTACTAAATTTAAATCTACTTGTATAGATTATAAATTATGGTACACAATTTGTATAGATCGAATCTAAAACGTATCAACACTGGTGCACCCCAAGGATCAATTTTTTAGCCATTTTTTTTATAACTTTCATATCAGATAAAGCAAACAGGTACAACTATCTATGCAGATGCCACCAACCTATTAAATGCAGGTAATATTATAATACAGCAATCAGTAAGTATTTCAAATATATGCGCAAATCATTTCTCTGTGATGTAAAATAATTATTAATTTTGTTTTTGTATTCCTCTCAACAAACCCTTTTAATTGATACACATATTATGGGGGTGCATAAAAAATAACTACTACGCCATCCTTGGGAGTCAGGCATATTGGATTTATAATGACGTCACTTAGCTAACCATGCATTGTTATCCAAACTAAACGTGCATGAAAAATTTCAACTTTCAGGATAACTGTTTTAAGTTTGCAAAATTTGACCTAAACAAACATACAAACATTACAAGTTAATAAAAAGCTTGTAATAATAAACAATATAGCGTTATTTACTTGTAACAGGCAACATCGATACTACATCATTTCCTTTCCTGCACATGCGATAGCCATTTACTATTCACTCCGCCATAAGCAAAGCAGGACCGAAGGTTTGATCTTGTAATTTAATTTTCTTTTTTATTAACAAGCAAAATCAGTACGTCTTCTCTTATTACGATGGTATTCCAAATATAATTAGAAGATAATACAACATCTTTTGAATCAATTTTAATAGAAATATGATTATTTTGAAATTGCTGTCCTAACAAATCCATTATAAAAAAAAGTTACACATCCAATTACTTATCTCATATATCACACAAATCCTTTTTTGGAGTAAATGTGATACATCTGACATTCAATTTTGTTTTATAAATACAGTAACAATACTGACGGGACACAAAATTGGTTGACGAGGATTCTGAATTCAATTTCCATGACACTTCAAAATAAGCGTAAAAAAATTGTATAAATTGACGATTGCTTTAATCTTTCGTTGAAAGCGGATTAAAATATGAACTGAAAAATATAGAGAACCATTGAATTCAGTTCGTATAGAGTAAGTCGTTTCAAAAGCATCGAGCATTGCAATTTACGATAAAGAGGAAAGTTTTTTCATTCACTAAATACCTAGATTTTACAGTACGACACAATTTTACTGCTATTTTTTTAAATTTTATAAAGCTAACCTACATAAGTTTATTTTTCAAATAAACACAAACACTTTGATGCTTTACAGCATCATTTTTAAGTAAAATGGCGCTTCTGTTCATTTATCCTTCTACATTGATGTCGTTTTATTGGTATCTAGTGATTAAAACAATTTTAGGTATGTTTAGGTATCTGATCACGTCATGAATAGGCAAACTGATAGGGCCATCATTGAATAATAATATAGAAAAAGCCTTAGAGACTGCAATTAAGCCGCGTCTAGGCCCTATTGATTTTGGGGACAGACTGAGGTGATAGCAAGGGATGGAAAGGTTGAGAGTAAAAAAAATTACAGAAAATATTTTTGATAAACATGCACGTATTTATACTATTAGAGTAATCTCATGAAATATTGATTTATGTTCAAATATTTCTGTTGGTTTTGTAAAAAAATAATTATTCTTTACTGCACTTTCTTTATTAAATACAAAAAAATAGTTTTGAAAGATAATACATAACCATTATGTTATTTTTAATTAATATTTTTATAAATAATTTATTACCCCAAGTCGTTTTTGATAAAATCTTTTATTAGAATCCTAAAATGCTTATCCTTTGTACCCATCAACTCGAGTTCACCGCACCTAATATCGATCCATAATTCCATAAATTACTATTTTTGGATTTAACACTACATTTAGTTTACTGTGAAGTGTAACTAATTCATTACATCTCAACCGGTTAGTTTATTTTAAACATTAAGAGTTAATATCCGAATTACTATCCGTTGGCACTTATCAACGTTTTCTTTAACCTCTTGATCCGTTTTTCTGGAGTTTGTTTTCAGTAAAAACAAAGCGAAAGAGAAAGGCTGTCTGTAAAAAGGATTATCTAGTATCCTTCTAAGCCGTTGCGAGAGTGTTCTTATTGATACGAGACGTAACATGAGCAGGCTTCCAGAAAATTGTTATACGAAAATGTTTTCAAAATAGTTAGTTAGATACATAAATAAAAACTTTAATTATGTAAGATATTAATTAAAAATCTTTATAAAATAATAAATAAAGTAGTTTAGTCGATAAGTATAGCATATTATATTAGGAGTGTAGAAATATACTGATTTTTACATAAAAATAATGACGATAAATAATTGAGATATTAGAAGAGGATTAGGAAAAACGGAAGAAATGTTTTAGGTATGTTTTAATTTCATATAAGTTTTTCTCTAAGAGTTCAAATATTTTTTCTTTTTGTTTGTATTATATGAAACATTAATTTATGTATAAAATAAATTATTTGTTATATTTTTTAATATACAAGTCCCATTTTAGATGAGCTTTGATGAATTATTTGTAGGTATTTGGTATTTTTAAAGCATTTATGATGACCATACCGTTGTATGAATATATCATAGTAGGATAATCTTATGGACACTTGGTTTAATTAAAATGGAGATAACATGAAGATGGCAGCACTCCTATGGTATTCTAAGTCAGGTCTTTAGGTCATGTCGGTGCTTGAATATAAATTATAATTTAAAGTCTTCTTTTGTATTTCAACGGGTCTTTGGTAATGTATTTTTTTAGTTACAAATGTAAATTTTTGTAAATGTTGCAGGTAAAGGGTATTTGAAGGTCACAAGAATTTGGTTAACAGGAAAATAATCAATAAAGGCAATAAACCAATAATTTTTGTTTTGGAAAAAGATTTAATGGGTTCAGTGGAATTTTCCTACAATAGGAAACGGAACATTGTTCTCTACGTTACGATTGTGGTTTTGGACGCACAGGAAGTTGGACGGTTAACTAATATTTGAGTTTTGTGCTATTAATTTTTTTTTTTTCACCTTATATACAGGGTGTCACATTAAGAATGAGACATGAACAACTGAAGGATCTCTGGTTCTGTTCAAAAATACAGGATGTTAATATATAAGTTGAAAATTGAAAAATTAATAACGGGTAGGTACCTACCTATAATTTTATTATTCAATATAATTTTACTGAAATCGAAAACGTATTTGGTGTCATAAGATACACCTGTAACCACAGAAAAATCAGTTTTGCCAGTGGCGTTAGGGTTGCCAAACATCATCATTTTAATAGGTTTAATGGGTAAAATATTTAAACCTTTCTTGCCTCAAAATCTAGAATGTATTTATTTATCCATTCGTAAAATAATTAAAATGTGCACTCTGAACCCTCTTCGTTCACCATCAGTAACGGCACTGCGGTAGTAGAACTTCCTTATTCCATCGTCTTAGAAATGAAAATGAATTACTAAACAATTCTAAA